TCTAACTATCTGCAGAAATTCTGTTTTCCAGATTGCATTTTCCTCCTAAAGCAAGTCTCTAAGAAGGCTAAAATAAATAAATAAATAAATACAGAAATACAGAAATAAACACAGAAATAAATAAAAGGAACAGGAACAGTGGAGCACCAACCAATTAAATCAGCAATAATCACAGAAAATGTATATGCCATAACACAACTCCCCCTTCCAACATCTGACTCAACCAAAAAGTGAGAATCCATCTTCTAGGAAAAAACAGCTGTTAGCCCACAGAGGTAAGAAAGAGGACCCCATGGCAGAAGATTCTGAAGCCATGTGGCCTCAGTAGCCAGCAGGAGCCAAAATGCTGGGAAGGCAAAATCAAGGACTCAAAAGATTTTCTTCACCTCAGGCCTGGCTTTGCTTATTCGGTGATCTATTGGGACAGAGACAAAGCTTTGGCAAGTTAGCGAAAACTGTCATCACATCGGCCCTACCACCAGTCAAGACCGGAGGGCCTGGCTGCCAGGTAGAGTTTTCCATCTGACTGCCAGGGAAAGGGAGAATCCTCTCTCACCCAGGCAGCCTGCCATCCAGACCCTTATCAACAAAGGTGTAAAGACGTTAAATCATTCAACCGACATCAATGGGAGAGTAAGAAACTAGGCGGGCAGTGCAGGTCTGGGACCTTCCTTCTCTCCTGCCAGAGAAGTTTCCTTCCTCCCACCGCGCGATGGGGACCCTCGCACCTGGAGGCTGCCAGGAGGTGACCTCAGCCCCGTCTCAACCTCGGACGCCACCTAGTCAACACTTTGCCTAAGCTGACCCCCAGCATCCGCGACTGTCATCTCAGGGTCTTTGCTGAGGTCCTAGGAGAAGCAACGCAGCTTTTCTCGGCGGCTCACTCAGAGCGGGAGAGGAGCCTTAGCCTCTATCCGCAGCGCCAGGACCAGCCCCTCTGCCCGCCGCTACCTCGCTCTACCCTCCGGAGAGACTGGCACCTGCCAGGCGCCGGTGGCCTGAGCGCGCCTCCCGAGCCGCCCGCAGCCGCCGCCTCACC